CTCTGCATCCTATCAGCAAGGTTGAGACTCAACTCCACGAGAGAACCTCACTGTGACTATTTGGTCTCACGTTTTCTACTGAACTGAGGTGGAACAACTAGATTGAATCAATAGCTGCATCTACCACAAGGAAAGTTGGTTCTCTGTGTCGTTCCAGAAGGTTTTTCTCGTCTGAGTCAATCTTCCCATCTACAAATCTACTATTCCTCTATGCATAGAATAATATGGCCTTGCCCTTTCCCTGCTGTGCATCTCGATGTTCTCAACAAAATCCGAAGACGGATATACAATGTCATTGGCCCTGACTTGGGGTCTCGACTATCGGCTTGATGGGGATTTCACGGCACCTGCTCTGACAAGCTATTTTCACTGGTGCCCCGACTGCATGAATTTAACCGTGCTACTTGGCATCTTGGTCCCAGGTCCTTCTCTCGTACCCTCCCTACAGTGGAACTCCCTACTTTTTTTATTTTACTTGCTTCCCTGATGAATATTGAAAAAGTTAAGTGTAATGTCAATCGTTATCATCTGTTGCTTTAATCCCCGTTCTTCTTCTTATCCTCTTCTCTTCTTCTTTTTATCCTTTCCTCACCCCCCCTATACCCAATCTCTTCCATTACTTACACTCTCTGTAGACTCTTGTGTACTTATGGCACTCCCACCTTGCTTGGGGTGAAATGCTTAAAATATATAGGTGGCTGAAATTACTTGGCGTGACCCACTTCACAAAAAGAATTATTTGCTAAGATGAGTCTGGCGCAAAACATTTCAACACTCCCTTGTGTGTATTATTTAATGTGTATTTTTCCGGTAGGTCTTCTTAAATCGAATTATCATTTTCCCTAATAACATACAGTGTAAATAATTAAATTCGATGTTTACCTCGAAATTATGATGTTTTAAGCATTGGAATTATTCAGAAATAGGTGTATCAGCAACGTTTAAACAATTATTTTTTTTCCCTTAAACACTTCCCTTTAATATAAAGAATATTGTTTCTCTGGAGAAAAAAAATGAAATTTCAGTTCTTTTCAGGACGTACCTGATCATGGCTCTGAAGAAATTTCTATTTCTTGATTATCTGTTAATTCATATGCCTTCTTGAGAAAGAGACTGAAATGCGTTGATTCTTCTTGTTTTCTCCACGGGTTGGATGTAAGAGTTTTAATTCTCTTAGACAGGTAGCCAACCAAGGCCAGAGAACACAATTTAATCTGCCAATTAATATATACGTAACGTTTAGCTTACGTTAGAAGATGAATATGTAGCTTTTTTTTTTTAAAGAAATACATTTGCCTGAAAGCAGCAGGCCTAACTTAAAATTGAACTCTGATCGCTGATTTCGTAATTCTTTATATTTATTATTTATTTTTGAAAATGTTCAATCTTCATTACGTAACCACAGTTCGTTTTATTAAAGAAATTCTGTGTATTAGTTTTGCATACCCTAGAAGAACTGATTAAATAGCCAGCCTTACTTATGTGACGTATTTTTCAGGAACATGGCTCACTTCTGTTTTCAGTCGTCAGAATCTCAAAGAACATTTGTCCCTTTATGATCTATCTCAGTCTCTGCTCTACCACATATTGGCATAAAAGAAATAGGAACCTATGGAAATGGTCAATGTATAATTTTCTTTGAGAGGTTTTCAAGACTACCGTTTCTTACAATATTGGTGGAGGCATCTATTGAGCAAGCTGCTAGTCTCTCACTGCTCTATAGCCATTTCCATGAATAGTGCTCACTACATTCCTTAGTTCCATCAATTCTCTCCTTCCCACATTGTAACGAACCGCCATAATTCCCTTCGTATTCCATTGGTGAGATTTAAGTTCCACTAAAGTGGCTTCTTCCCAAGAACCGCTGCTTTTTGGAACCGACTTCCAAAAGGACTTTTTTTCCGACTGGTCTTATTTGAGAAAGAATAATCAAAAGTATTTACTGGGAATAAATTGTCTGCTTGCGGGTAGAGCAAGTATACAAAGTTAAAAATAGCTCCAAGATTAGGATGCATAATCTCACTGGAATTATTCTACGTATACAACGAATCTATAAGGTGTCAACACGTACGTCAACGAAAATGTAGGCTCCTTTTACTCTTCAGAGCATAATATTAACATGTATCACACCATTCTCTCGAAATCCGAAATAAAGATAAAATAAAGAGTATATAGTCTTTCTCGTATATTTATTATAGATGTGTGTAATGAGTGTCCGGGTAATTTCGTCGGAAAATACAAGAAGTTTGTGGGATTTCCTTATCGTGAATTTCTGTTGAGATCTAAGAAATAAATATTACTATTATGGCCTGAAAAGAAGCCCAATTTTTCCTTGACACACATGTTGACGGGTTTGACCGTGTGTCCGATAGTGAGAATGTTACGTTTTTGTGTGCGTAGTGTAGAAGTAAAAATGGGGACGATTCTCTTTGAATCGTTCTAACAATTAGAACGAGTGAAATAATGATAATTATAATTGTTATAATTATTATAATTATTTTTGACGCTATAATTATTTTTTTTATTTATTTCTATTAATGGAAACGATAAAGTGAGAGTATGATTATTTTTTTATTTTTTTTTAAATTTATTTATGGATACGACAAACTAAAAAACCTGTTAGCATCATGATATATAGATGGTAAGCTAGGAGAATTGTATGCTGCTGGTTAGACTGGAATTTCAGTTCGGTGTACAGTTAAGAAATTACTTGATATTTTTCTTCAACTGTTTGAAGTAATGTTTTCATCTTGGTTTATCTAAATTTTATTATAGACTCAACGTTTCAATCAAGTAACTTCTGGCTATCATTTGGTGTTCATTAATTGGCTAATGATATGTATTTTTATTATTGTATTGATGCGGCATTCACCCTGGGCGGATTGAGCCGGCTTCTTCCTGTTGACTCTTTCGTAGTCATGTGAGAAGAAGATTCTTGGGATAAATTACAGAAGTAGGGTACCCAGGCCTACTCGGATAACGTTCTTGCTTGCCGCGGGGTTCCCACAGATATGAGCAATTAATCATCCCGAAAAAGAAATACTAAATATTTGATATTTGTTTTCTTTTTTCTTTTTTTTTTCTTTTTTGAAAGTTTTCTTTAAATTTTACTTATTGACCAAAACTGATTTTAATAAAGAAAATATCATCTCATCTATTTTATCTATTCTCTATGCAAAGGACAACTGATAAAATCACCATATTTATGCACATCTCAAGAAGCTGGTGTCGTTTGTTTTATATAATAATGAACCGACATTAAATATAAACTCTTTTAATGTTTAAAAACCGCCTGACATAACGCTTCAATAGGGTGTCTTCAAAATCTCCCGCAAAAATTGGTAAATTTACTCTGTACTTAGCTTTGATTTTGTGAAATTGGATAAGTTTTAATGAAAAATTTCATCGGCAAACTTGAAATTCGGCGCGGTCGGATCGGCGGGAGAAAAATGGTATCAAATGATGTGATGTTTCACCCACTAAAGTTTAGCGTTATTATTGAAAACTAACTAATCGGAATTGCAAAAGATCGATGAAATGATTTGGTCAGGCGAGGGCAAAAAGTTCAGTTGGTTATTCGACTAATAAATGGACTCTATCAGTTGAGACTTAGTTATCCACCTGAGCAAATTTCTCATCTTCATCTTTGTTTCATCCTTTTCCATCTTTGCTTTCCTTCCTTCTCTCCTCCTTTGCTTTCCTTCCTTCTCTCCTCCTTTGCTTTCCTTCCTTCTCTCCTCCTTTGCTTTCCTTCCTTCTCTCCTCCTTTGCTTTCCTTCCTTCTCTCCTCCTTTGCTTTCCTTCCTTTTGCTTTCCTTCCTTCTCTCCTCCTTTGCTTTCCTTCCTTCTCTTCTTCTTTGCTTTCCTTCCTTCTCTCCTCCTTTGCAAGAAATTTCCTTCCTTCTCTCCTCCTTTGCTTTCCTTCCTTCTCTCCTCCTTTGCTTTCCTTCCTTCTCTCCTCCTTTGCTTTCCTTCCTTCTCTTCTTCTTTGTTATCCTTCTTTCTCTTCTTCTTTGTTATCCTCCCATCTCTCCTTCTTTGCTTTCCTTCCTGCTCACCTTCTTTGCTTTCCTCCCTATGTTTTTATTTTCTCCCCTTTCTTTTCCTTTGCCTATTTTTTTTCTTCTCTCCTCCTTTGCTTTCCTTCCTTTTGTTTGTTTCCTTCATTTTTCTTCTAGGTCTTCTTCATTTTTCTTCATCTTTCTTCGATTTTATTTTCTTCCTTTTTTTTTCCATCTTTCTTCAACCTTTGCTTTCCTTTCTTTTTTTTTTTTTCCATCTCCTTCTTTGCACTTTCCTTTGATATCTTTTTACTCCTATTTACCTTCATTTTTTTTTTCCATCTTTCCTTAAATCTTTTTTCTTTTTTATTTTTCTTTTTATTTTCGCCTCGTTCCCTTTATTTTTTTTTTTTTTTTTTCTCTCTATTTACTTTTGTTTGTTTCCTTCATTTTTTCTTAGGTCTTCTTCATTTTTTCATCTTTCTTCGATTTTATTTTCTTCCTATTTTTTTAGCCATCTTCAACTAAAAGTTTTATCTTTTTTTTTCATTTTCCATCTTTCTGCACTTTCTTTGATATCTTTTACTCTTGTTATTCGTTTTTATTTTTTCTTCTTTTCTTTTTTTTCTTTTCTATTTTTTCCTCGTTCCTTATTTTTTACAGTTTTTCTCTCTTTCTTTCTACGTTTTTCCTACTTTATCTTTTTGCATTTCATTTTCTTTCTACGATTTTAATTTTTTTTTTCAACTAAAGTTTCTCTTTTTACATTAATTTTAACACTCCCCTATTCGTTCTTATTTCTTCTTTTTCTTTCTTCCCATTTTTTTTTTGATTTTTTCTCTTTTAATTTTTGTTTTTTTTCTTTTTGAGATTTTAATCATTTTTTTTATTGTCTTCAAGCATTTCCTTTCTTCCTTCCATATTTTTTTTTCTCTTCAAATGTTTTTTTTCTCTTCAAATGTTTTTTTGTATATGCTCTGATTTGTTGGACTTTTCTCGATGCCTTCGCTTCTTCATCTGTTTTTTAATTTTTTCAAAGTATTCAATCTTCTTTCTAATTTTTTTCTTTGTTTTTTTTTCATCTTTCGTTTTCTTTCTTCTGTTTCTTTTTTGACCTTTCATTTTTATGCCTATCGTCTATTTTTTGTTTTACTAAATACTTTTTAACTTTTCATCTCTTTTTATTTAATTCAAGTTTTTATTTACTTTTTCTTTGTTCTCTGTTTTTATATATTTATATTTTTTATATTTATATTTTTCTCTTATTTCGCTTTCTTCGTTTTTCTTTTCGAGATTTTAAAAATATTTTTGTTTATTCATTATTATTTATTTTACTTACTTTTCTTCATTCTTTTTCTTTCCAGTCGCTTTTTCTATCATTTTCTTTCTTCTAACTTCTAGCTTTTTTTCTCTCTTTTCTCATTGTTTTCTTCATTTTCTTTCTTCATGTTTTCATTATATCTTCTTTTTTTCATATGTTTCCTCTTCGTAATATACTTATCTTCTTTCACACTTTTTTATTTAAACGTTTTCGACGGGGGGGACTTTTAAAATGTTTTTCTATATATTTATTTTAGCCACACTTCCCGCTTTCTTTTGATATTCTACATTCTTCTTTTATGCTGTTTCATTTTCGTATTTTTTCTTCTTCTTACAATAACTCGACCCTACCCCTTCCTTTTTTTTCTCCATGCTAAGCCTACTTCTTTACTTCTATTTTTATAATCTTTTATTTCCTCCTTGTCTTGCTTTGAATCTTCACCTTCTTTCCGGTCCTCTCCACCTATTCTTCCCTTTCTCCTATCATTTCAACAATTGCTAACCGACAAACCACGCCGTTACACAAGAAAGGCCGTCTCCGCCTATTGCCTGATCGGATCCGCATACCAATAACAGCGAAGGGGAAAGAGAGCAAGTCGAAATCGACACGCAAACTTATACAATAGACACACGCAGATACACTCACCCATTAAAATAACGCAATCGAACTCGCTCTTTCTTGGCCGAAACAAACACTTAAGTTACTCCTCTTCACAAACATATATTGATCAGGGATTATCCGTGGCTCATGGGATAACAGCGTCAGGTGTTTTGAGAGAATACTTCAATTTGTTAGAAGACGCTTCGTGGAAATTGTTCGTCAGCAGAGTGTTTTGTGCTCAAATTGGTTAAGAAAACAATGACTGATTTTAAGCTTCGTTAAGTCTGATCAATGGGTGACCATTTGGAAATAACAAATGATTGAAACCGTTTCCTATATTGCGATGTTTTGACGTTGATAATTAGATAACAAGATACTCACATAAATCATGTTAACAAAAGTCCAATCCTCAGGAGATGCTCAAAGTTTGAAACCTTTTGTCAGTCCAAGCTAGGTTTTGCAAGTGCCTAAAAGGAAAATTTAGAAACATGTCATGGAAATACATTTTGCGTTCCTGTGTTCACGCGCAAATAATATTATATTCATCTAACATAGTGGAGTGTTAAAATGAATCCTCCTCCCAAAATCTGCATTTGGTCACTGTTGACTCGAGTCAAGAAATTTTCAATATCCCTTCATATAATATACCTTAATTTCTATCCATGGGCTGAGAGGAGAGCTGATAGAAATTGGAAAAAATATAAGGCTGGATGTGTATTTACGTACGTCCTTAAAGACATGCATTGTATTTTGAAATATTTAATAGAAAATATTGTTCTCACTATTTTATATATATATATATATATATATAAATAATACCCCAAACATTATTACAGCGGATATATCGTATTTGAGGTAGACGCCCCGTTTTTATTTATTAATCCTTTGAGCCCTGACCGGCGGTAGAGAAAAATGACTTACTGCCCAGATACCGGTTGAATGGTGGGTAAACACTTGTAAGTATCTTTATATATACCGTGAAACATTAGATACCAATTGTTTGCGAGTATTAACTCAGAACCTCAAGCAGAATGGTTAAAATTGTTCAGGAATGCAGGACTCAAAGGATTAAGCAACGTGAATTACCTGGAGCGGATCTAGGATTTTCACTTAAAAATCTCAATTCAAAATTTTTTATTCTGTGATATATATTAGGTTATAGAAATAAAGAGAGAGTGTTTTTATATATATATATATATATATATATATATATTTGTAAAACAGTCATTCAAAAAATAAATCAATAAAGTTCATGTAACTAATGGCGAACTCACTTCGCTAACATATTAAGAAGACCTTAATTCACTGACCACTCGGTAAACGACACGATCCTTGTTTTTATTAACTATACAATAGATTAGATGTTCGGTCCATATTGCTTACAAATACTTCGGTAAAAATATTAACTTCTGAAATCTAAGACGTTGCTCTAATTATTGGACCAATAATCTATGCCAAGTCAACGAAAATAAGACTTACTATAATAGAAATTATGAATTACTGCACTACTACAATATTCAAAAATCTAGCGTCGCATTACTTCCCGTTAAAAAAATTCCTAGCTGTTAATAATAGCACACTTTTAATAAAAAATCAAGTATCACATTCATTTTCGTCTTGGAATTTTACCCGAAATTACATGAAATTGACAAAAAAATAACATCTATGCCTGAGGATGGTAAATGTTTTTATCGAAAGTACTTGCAAGCAATATAGACCGAACATCTAATCCATTGTACAATTAATAAAAGCAAGTATCGTGTCGTTCAGCGAGAGGTCAGTGAGTTAATGCTTTCTTAATCTGTTAGCGAAGTGAGCTCGCCATTAATTACATTAAGTTTATTGATTTACTGTTTGAATGACTATTTTACATTATTAAGCTGCATTATTTAATAAATAACATAAAATTGAATATTTTATTTATTTGATATGTAAAATTGGAAACTTTTATATTAAAATTGTGATTATATAGCGCCAGTCAATTTTCGTGGATTCTTATTTACATGGTGGTTCACGATTTTTTTATAGTCTAACTGAAACACTTTGTGAACACACAAAAGCGTTAAATCTGTCTTCATACAGTGAGCACCTCATTGAATTTTTTATAAACTTCAAGAATGAGTTTTGATAGCTCAACAGAACTGCCAGACACACCGTTAAATGCGAAAAGTTGAAGAACTTTCATAATGTTCGGAAACATTTTGGCTCAAGACATTGGGCGTTGCAGAGTTTGGGAGAATGTTTTCTGGTTTAAAAGCATATTTGCTCCATATGGCTTTACAGATGATAACTTCTTGTTTCAGAAGTTCTTTGGTTACATTCAAATCAACTTTGAACCGCTCATGACACATTTTTAACGGCATCATCCAGCAACTTCAAAAGTTAAAGGTGACACCTAACACTGAGGGCTGCGGAGTCAGTATAAATTCGCTTGAGTCAAAAGTAGTTAAAAACGAATCTAAAAATATATTCAAGAAATGTACCACAATGTATTAGAAAACCTTTTTCTTTTTCATTATATTTAATCATTTTCAAATTTTGGTTTATCAATATCAGATTGAAATCTTTTCATAAGATTAGATTCAAGTTTATGACAATGGGTTAATATTGACTTCGGTTATTTCTACGTCACCCCCTATTAGCTTACCTTATCTACTGTGCAAGAAAATATTTTCTCAGAAACTTTAGAGATTGGGTGCCTGCACACACTCTACGACCACTGGATTTGCTCTTGATTGCATATATCTGCTTTGCTCATTTAATAAATCTTAGAAATTTCGTTCCAGGGCCATCTTGAATAACATCTCTCAAACGAGCAGGCAGATAGTTGTAATATTTTCATTGCTTAATAAATGAAAATGGAGTGTCCATTTCAAATACGATATACCCATGGTTATAGCGTTTGAAAAAATAGATTAAAAATACATTCATTAATTCTTTAGAATATATATTTGTGGGTGTGTTTATCAATATATGTCGATATGCGTGTGAACCTATGTGTGTATCTATATTTCTCTCTTTATCTCTCTCTCTCTCTATACATATATATATATATATATATATGCGTATGTACCTATATATAATATATATATATATATATATGTGTGTGTGTGTGTGTGCCCGTTTGTCTATATGAATATATTTGTGTGATTATGTGTTTGTCTATATGAATATATGCGTGGGAGAGTGAAATTAGAAAACTCTATATTGATATTTCGTCGATTAAACGGCGCCATCAGATAAAGAATTTCTTTTCACGAGAACAAAGTCTACATTAACGAGACAAAACGTGATTCACGTTAATCGGGTGAACGCTTGATTTTTTTTTTTTTTGAATGTATGGCTTTAGAAATTAGGATTTGAACAAGTTTCAGTACCAATGCGATTAAAGATGTTCTACCTTCAAGAAAATGATGAGCGTTAAGATGTGATATATTCACGCATAAACTACAAGCCCCAACACCGAGAGCACGTTGTGTTTTTACCTGGGTTACGATTGTCGCTCGTTGGAACATTGTTGAACAATTTCTGCATCCTATACTGAAACAGATAGACAATTCACAGTTCCAGCAGGAATAATGCCGTCTTATCCGTAACCTATAATACTCAACATAATCTGCTAGATGTTCGTAAATAACCCTATCCAGTACAATGAGCAGCTGTACCTTTATTGACTATGTATGAGACATTAAGTTTGGTTCCTTAGAGTTCACGCTGTATTAAACAAGTTAGAATAATGTGTCACAAAATGGGGAAAACTACATTACTATGCATACGGATGCAGAGAGATGAATGTAATAGGGGTTAGGGGACAAATATAATAGCTTAGATAAGTAGTTAAAGGAATTTAATGGAAGCTCTAGAGATCATCCCGAGGAAGAAAATGTAGAAAAAAAAGGTGTTGATTTATTGAGAACATTCAAGAGTTGATGAAAAGGTGACAGGAAACAAAAGAATGCCAAACCAAAGAATCTGAAACGCTCATTATAGAAAACGTAGAAATATTCAAAAGATGGAACGAATACATCAGATAGCTCTTACACGTTGACAGTGGAGAGAAACTCAACTCTCATTCTTATTTTTTTTTTTCTTCAGGTCATGGGCCATCATGTTTCACGGCAATTTCCTATCCCGTGAGACATTTAGTAACGTTTATCTATTTGCCATCTCTTACAAACTTTGTTCTATTAAGTTCATTAGGCATGTACTTCGCTGATTCGTCCTGTCCCTTTTGCTTTCGGTATATCTCTTCTTCCTTATTACATGTCCCAGAAGGTTGGGCTATCTATTTTCTCTTTTTGTATCCATTTTGTTTCCCTTTTACTTAAGTCTTCGTCGTTTCTTAGAAGCTATGTTTTTTGGTATTCTAAGAATCTTTTAGTAGAACCACATTTCTATTGATTCCAATATTTTCTTCATCTGTGAGGAATTGCTCAGTATTCGGTGTTTTATAGAAGAAATGATATTACATAAAAAAAACATGGAAAATATTGATACATGCGGGTGTGCGCTGTTAATTGAATGTTCTCACAAGTGGGGAGGGTGGAATCAAAGATAGAAGGCTAAA